TTGAAGCTCTTTTTTGGGCTGAGTTGAAGCTCAAGGCTGAGGCCAAGCTTTTAAACTTGAAGCCCTTCATTGGGCTGAGATCAAGGCCAAGGCCGAGCTAATAATTTTGAAGCCCTTTGTTGGACTGAGTTGAAGCTCAAGGCTGAAGCCGAGCTTTTAAACTTGAAGCTCTTCGTTGGGCTGAGCTCAAGGCCGAGGCCGAGCTAATGAATTTTGAAGCTCTTTGTTGGGCTGAGTTGAAACTCAAGGCTGAGGCCGAGCTTTTAATTTTAAAGCCCTCCACTAGGCTGAGTTGGAGCTCAAGGCTAAGGTCGAGCTTTTAAACTTGAAGCCCTTCGTTGTGCTGAGCTCAAGGCTGAGCTAATAATTTGGAAGCCCTTTGTTGGGCTGAGTTGAAGCTCAAGGCTGAGGCCGAGCTTCTAAACTTGAAGCCCTTCATTGGACTTTACTCAAGGCCGAGGCAGAGCTAATAATTTTGAAGCCCTTTGTTGGGCTGAGTTGAAGCTCAAGGCTGAGGCCGAGCCTTTAAACTTAAAGCCCTTCGTTGGGCTGAGCTCAAGGCTGAGGCCGAGCTAATGAATTTTGAAGTCCTTTGTTGGGCTTAGTTGAAGCTCAAGGCTGAGGCCGAGCTTTTAATTTTAAAGCCCTTCACTGGGCTGAATTGGAGCTCAATGCTAAGGCTGAACTTTTAAACTTGAAGCACTTCGTTAGGCTGAGCTCAAGGCCGAGGCCGAGCTAATAATTTTGAAGCCCTTTGTTGGGCTGAGTTGAAGCTCAAGGCTAAGGCCGCACTTTTAAACTTGAAGCCATTCGTTGGGCTGAGCTCAAGGCCGAGGCCGAGCTAATGAATTTTGAAGCCCTTAGATGGACTGAGCTCAAGGCCGATGCCGAGCTAATAAATTTAAAGCCCTTAGTTGGGCTGAGTTGAAGCTCAAGGCTGATGCCGAGCTTTTAAACTTGAAGCCCTTCATTGGACTGAGCTCAAGGCCGAGGCCGAGCTAATAATTTTGAAGCCCTTTGTTGGGCTGAGTTGAAGCTCAAGGCTAAGGCCGAGCTTTTAAACTTGAAGCCCTTCGTTGGGTTGAGCTCAATGCTGAAGCCGAGCTAATAATATTCTGAAGCCCTTCGTTAGGCTGAGTTGAAGCTCAAGGCTGAGGCCGAGCTTTTAAACTTGAAGCCCTTCATTGGGCTGAGCTCAAGGCCGAGGCCGAGCTAATGAATTTTGAAGCCCTTTGTTGGGCTGAGTTGAAGCTCAAGGCTGAGGCCGAGCTTTTAAACTTGAAGCCCTTCGTAGGGACGAGCTCAAGGCTGAGGCTGAGCTAATAAATTTGAAACCCTTCGTTCGGCTGAGCTCAAGGCTGAGGCGAGCTAATAATTTTGAAGCCTTTTGTTGGCCCCTTTTTTATCTGAACCCGGCTTTTTACGTCGTGGTCTTTTAATTTGTACCCCGCTTATTTCGCTGAGGCTTTTTAATCTAAATCCGACTTTTTATGCCGTGGTCTTTAAATTTATAGCCACGCTTCTTTCGCGGAGGTTTTTTTATCTGATCCCGGCTTTTTATGCCGTGGTTTTTTGATTTGAGCCCCGCTTCTTTCGCGGAGGCTTTTTAATCTAAATGCGGCTTTTTATGCCGTGGTCTTTTAATTTGAGCCCCGCTTCTTTCGCATAGTCTTTTTATCTGATCCTGGCTTTTTACGCCGTGATCTTTTAATTTGAGCCCCGCTTCTTTTGCGAAGGCTTTTTTAATCTGAACCCGACTTTTTATGTCGTGGTCTTGTAGAGACAGAGATTCTCGTTGGCATTGGGGTTCTTGAGCTTCTTGCACGACGATCGCCCTTCATGCTTTTTTATTTCATGGTGAGCCCCATTGTATTAAGATTTGGTTGTGGCAGCGCTTCTCTTGCTAACGCGGTGATTATCCGTGGTTTTACGCTTGTGCTCTGCGTGCTCACTATAGTTGGGTGGGAATCGAACTTTACGATTTCCCACAAACGACGCCAATGTTCAATTCTATTAAACCGTATAATGATACCTCAAGGGTATGCACTCAGAGATATCCTATGAATAGGTATCTTGGTTGGCTTATAGCCAATATCTCCATCACTGCACACAAGCAATAGACTTATAGCCGAGACGTGGGTGTGTGCACAGTGTGGGCAGAAGTAGTAAATGAGTTCAAGTATCTACTTGGGGTCTTTAACCTCTTATTTATAAGGGTTACCTCTTGGGCTTGTGTAGATCTCCCAGTTGTAGTAGGATTTAACTTCCTTTTTGTTGGGATAGAGACTCTATCCTTAGCAGCCTTACTGTTTTATATTGTTAGGATAATTGGGTAGTTATCCTTTAAGGGATCCTTGGGTAGGTGGTTAGGATATGAAAATATTCCATAATAAATATAATTATATAACCACAGAAAACTCTCTCATTTTTTTTGTTTTTCACAAGTTTGGCTATGTGAAGTTTGAATTCATGATCCAATACAAAATCTCATACTCTTTTCTTTTAGATCACTCTTGATAGATTATTAAACTTGTACCTAGCTACAATCCGAACTGAGAACGGATTTATGGAGTTAGCTCCCTCTCGCGGGGTCGCGATCCTTTGTCCTCGCCATTATAGCATGTGTGTCACCTAGGGTATTAGGCGAAAGTAGCCTTTTGGAGGCCATGAACAGAAAAGAGGAAAAATTAAAATTTTTGTGCGGAAGAAGCAACCTTTGCCCACCCTCAATCATGTTCAACCCATGAATCATGCAATAGACATGTTAGGGGTTTAAAGTTGATACCTTTATTCGGATAATTATTCCTGATCAAATGCGTTCTTGATCAATTCTTCAGACTTGAAGAACACAAGTCCTCCGATGAAAATCCACACCACCTTGTTGTATTGTAAGAGAAGAACACTTCTTCGAATGCCCAATATCTTTCAATGGAGGTTGTTAGACTCAAGAAAAGAATAGAGATTGGGCAGCCTTTGGTTATTCCAAGAGAGAGATAGCCACCACATGTATAGATAGCCTTTGGTTTTAGTGGAAAAAATTAGAGAAGATCAGATGCAAAACTAAGGAAGAAGAGGGGTTATATATAGATGTGGCGCCTCATTAACCTAAGACTAGGTCAAATCAGCGCCCTCATCAAATCCCTTATTGGGTAATTTCCTTAATTTTATCCAATCAATCCAATTGATTGGTTTCCCCATTTCAGCTAATTAATTTAATTAATTGGTTTTCTTAATTTTATCCAACCAATCCAATTGATTGGTTTTCCAAATTTCAGCCAATTAATTTAATTAATTAGTTTCCTTAATTTTGGTCAATCAATCCAATTGATTTATTTTCCCAATTTCAGCCAATTAATTTAATTATTTGGTTTCCTTAATTTTGGTCAATCAATCTAATTGATTTGTTTCCTCAATTTCAGCCAATTAATTTAATTAATTGGTTTCCTTAATTTTGGTCAATCAATCCAATTGATTTGTTCCCCAATTTCAGCCAATTAATTTAATTAATCGGTTTCCTTAATTTTGGTCAATCAATCCAATTGATTTGTTTCCAATCAATCTAATTGACTGATTTCCTTTATCTTCTCCATGTTCAATAAATCTAATTTAATGAGTATATTTAAATTTAAATTTCAAATTCAAAATTAGAATTTAAATTAATTTTATTTAAATTCAAATTTCAAATTCGAAATTCAAAATTAGAATTCATATTAATTTTTATTAATTTAACATTTAAATTAATTAGGTTACATCATGGACCAAGCCAACTTGACCTATGATGCCACCTACTCTCTCTTGGCCCAATATGTGAGCTTTTCCAACTTAGGCACATTATGTCTTATTGGGCCCAAATAACATATGCTAGAATTCAAGACAACTTAAGATGTTTGTGTGCGACCCATCAAGCCCAACATAACCTCTGACATAAATGGGCTTGGGCCCATTAGGTCCAATCCATCTAATGACAACACAGAGCACTAGCAATGCTTTGTTGTCCCAGAGCTAGTTGAACTCATCGAATGATCAACCTGTTATACCTATTTGGTTACCGTGTGAATTATCTTTTCGTCTCGGTTATCCATCCCATTGACCTAGGTCAAGGAAAACGTATCAACCCCTGCAGTCTAGGGTTAGCTTTTGCCGAAACAGGAAATCTTCATTTACGGACTCTAAAGAGCGGGCCATCTCATGACTCCTTTACTATGCATAGATTCCTGAGTCCCGTAAATGTCATCTCGGTTTCACCGGTCTACGGATAACCTAATCTCTCATAGAGATTGACGAATTCCTTCAGCTTGTCACACTAGGCTTGAGTCCTTAGGGCATGCCCAAGAGTATACCTACGAGTCTCCATGTTTCAGGAAAGTAAGGTATACAATCAAAGCAAGCCTTCTAGAGCACAGGTCTATACGACAACGTAAGGTCTAAGGAAAGACACACCCAAATAATAAGAGACATTACCTATTGATACTATCTGTGAGATTTTCTTGTAGTGTCTCTTTGTGGGTCAGTTCAGTGCGAGCTATTCTCTAATAGGTCCACCCACGAGTTAGCTAAGACATCTCCATGTCTGCAGCTCACGAGGACTCTACCTTGCATCTCCATGCAAGTAGCTGAGTCGTGCTAGTCTTACCCGAGATAACCAATGCCCATTATCGGTATCTCTAGACTAGGAACATATTTCTGGCAATGGACGTGTGGTGTCATTAAGCCCTCATGATCGTGATCCCTATTACAGATCCTCAATGTGACACCCATTTCATTATTCCAAGGACTTTATCTAGTTACTCATATTCAATATTTGAGACATTCAATATGAAACAAAATAAAGAGTGCTTTTATTCATAAAATTTATTCATAACTAATAAAGAAGTACATGGGTCCATCTGACTCTTAGATTGTCTCTAGAACATCTATGTACTAACATTAGGGGCATGATGACTTGACGTTATCCTCACCTTCCCCCAACTTATCACCGGTAGTCTGCTCGGGGTTTGAAATCATGAATCCCACATATTGACATCAAGAAGAAAATCACTCCAACATTGATCTTCTATAAGAAAGTCCATGTCGTTCTCTGCATTGACTCTCACGTCGTCCATCACAGTTCCCATCCACTGATCCAAACAATTATTGCTCTCTGATAAAGCTGCATGTGTTTCAGTAGTGCACTCTTTGGTCTTATTCTCATCTTCCCTAATGAATCTCCTTTTCAACCAGGGAGAATTTCTTGAGAAAGTTAGAGGCTGAGGCTTTATCACAAGTTGAGGTTTCACTGTTTCCTTTGGCTTTGCATTGATATCTTCCTTATGAGAGGATACCCTCCTTCGAATATAGGTATTCCAATAGTTTTTCACATCGTTAGGAGTTCTTCCAGGAAGCCTTCCAGCAATCAGGGACCATCTACAATCACAAACTATTCTTAGTCAAACACCGGTGATATATATATATATATATATATAGGAAAAAATGTGTATCATTTTAAAGAATATAAAGTTATATCATTTTAAGAGAGATAAAAAGATAGATAAAGGAGGAGAGAGAGGGGACAAAAAAAAATAAAGATATGGGTCCCACCTCTTTGTGAGAGTGAAATAACATAAGTTGTGTAATTTAAAAGGACAAACACTTTTTTCATATATATATATATATATATATAGGGCTTATCATTTCTCAAGCTGCAGGAGATAACTTTATCTCCGGCTACTGTATCATAACCATACAAAGATAGATCAATGGTGATAAAGAAAGAGAGAGAAAAAGAGAATCATAATCATTCAAAGATGAATCAATTAATATAAGGAAATAAATAAACAAAACGACGTCATTTTGGGGTGGCCAGAGATAAACTTATCTCAAGTTGTCGGAGAAATATTTTTTCCATATATATATATAGAGTCAATTGGATGTTCAAGATATAAGATTTTGTCCACTCACCCCTTGTAACTATACAGAGAATATATAATTATAATATTAAATTTTTTTCCTCTCTCTCCACATTAACACTTTTATAGCATAGAGGTTGTGTTGAAAGAATAATTTTTTTATGCTGGTAGCTATCGTGTAAAATTGTGAATTTTGTGAATAGAATAATACAAACTCAACTATTATCCTTTGTTTTATGTATTATTTTTCAAAAAATAAATATGAAAATATAAAAGAATAGAAGTTATTGGTCTTTACCCATTTTTGTTTTATGAACAAAATTTTATAATATGATCATTTAATAGGTAATACTGTTTGCCCCTTATTTATTTTTTTTATCAAATCTTAAGCATCCATAAATAGTTATCTATGTGTATTAATTCAACCTGTTTCCCAAAAGTTTATGCAATCTTATCATCATATCAATTTCGTCCTCAGTGAACCCTCCTCGCTTGATATTTGGTTTTAGATAATTCAACCACCTCAGTCTACAGCTTTTGCGGCATCTGTTTAAGCCTGCATAAATTCAACAACATATATATAATTAATAACAAAAGCACAAGTGGTGCACGGACCTCTGTCTAAGGCAACCAAAAATATGAAGGAAAAAGCGAAAGAAACAAAAAGAAAAAAAAAAAAAAAAAAAGTTTTTTGCTTCCCTTAAATAACTATTTCTTGGTAATCTTACAGTAGTAGTGGGCCATTATACTATCATAAAAGCAATATTATATACCTGCTCTTGCAGGAACTAGGTGCCATTTTCCTTCCCCGTATTGTTGCACACAAGCCCTCAAAAGGTCATCTTCCTCTTTACTCCATGCGCCTTTTCTCACAAATAAGGATCCTTCCATGAGTTACAATAAGATGCTTTGCACTGCTCGCAAGACACTCACGCACCTAAACCTGGGCAATAAGTAAGCCTAGCTAGTTAATTTCTTTAAAAGCTGCTCAACTCTTTTAACATATATGTACTCGAGAATACACTCAAAGAATCAACGTGCAATGTCTAGTGTCCACAAAACAAAAAGACTTCGTGTAAACATGTGGTGCCACAAATGTAGGAGGTACGTCTTTTAACCGCACGTACCTTGCAGTTTAACTGGATGAACCAAGAGGTGCATTTGCTTTACCTAAAATGATTTTTAAAAGTTTTCCTTTTTTTTTTTGGAAAAATTATTTGTTATTTTAAAAATATAATTTGGTGTCATTTTTAATGAAACTCTGTAGTTTTATTGTGTATTTGACATGTTTTACATCCTCTCTCTTCCACAAAATTAAAAAAAGAGATAAAATGAAAGAGAGAATATAAAAAAATCATCAAATACATAACAAAATTACGTAATTTCATTAAAAATGATATAAAATCGTGTACTTTAAAATAATAAATAATTTTTTCTGTTTTCCTTGTGTTTTGTATAGAATATTAATATTTTTCTTAATGCAATTTCTCTTTTTTCTTTTGGGTGGAGGAAGGATTTTTCTATGTTTTACTAGTCTAATAAAAATAGGTTGTGTTGTGTGTGTGTGTGTTACACGTAGTTTACGTTAATTTATTTTATATGAATTCATAAATAAATTGAATGAATTGTTAACCAAAAAAAAAAAAAAAAAAATGAATGACTTCATATAATTGTTTAATTTTTTTAAGTGGTGTATCACGGGTGACTGTTTTAAGAATGGGTTCGAAGGCTCTTGGAATCGGCTTTCTAAGAAAGGGACATGCGTTGCGATGAGCCGATGAGCACTGGCATTTTTTTGGATTTTCTGGATTGTTTTCATGGAGTTTTTTAATTATTTTCTAAATAAGTTTCAATCTTTTATTTCAGTAGGGGTAATTTCATATTTTCTATTATTTTGCTTTTTGTTGCCTATTGAAGGGTGCTGTAAACCATAACTTATTTGGTTAAATAAAGATATTATTGAGAGATTACCAATCATTTGAATCACCTTAATGAGTGTACTAAACTTCTAGTCCGCAGGATGTTAAAATTTGATAGGAAGAACTTTGCCGCCTATACGATTCTATTTTGTTCAAATTGGATTAATTAAATAATTGATAAATCGATGGATGATATTATATATATATATATATATTGGAAAAAAAAGTATCTAATATTACTTTAGATAACTTTGTCTAATGTTCATTGAAACGATGTCGTTTTGAAGTTGAAAAAAAAATTAGAATGATACAGACTATTATAACCCTGAAATAAATTAAAATAATAAAAACATCATGATTTCCGCCCCAAAACGACGTCATTTCGGTGAACATTAGATAAAGTTATCCAAAGTAACTTTAGAAAAAATAAACCCATATATATATGGGGTTTACATTTCTTCAGCTGCTGGATGTGCAGCAATCAAATATTTGCTATATATATACTTGAAAGCATTAAATGCGAGAAATCATAACCACACAAAGGATGAAAGCATTAAATGTGGGCAATCATAACCATACACCTGTCGTTGTTGTACGTAAAGCGGCTGCAGAAATGATTTTACCTATATATATATGTGTGTGTGTGTGCAAGATCTTACACTCAATCTTAACTGTTGATTTCCGTTCATCAAACAACTGTAATTAATTAGATTATTCCCATTAATTAATTATTAATTATAACCGTTAGATATGCAAAAATCAACGGTTAAGATTGAGTCTCTTACACCGGCGCAAGAAGATCCTGCATATATATATATATATATATATATATATATATATATATATATATATATATATATATATATATATATATTGTTGAGAGCTCTGCCTACTCTGAATCTTAATTCGTTCTATTTAGCCAATTCGCATATTGTTCAATGCTATGGATCAAGAGTGTCCAATCAGAGATTAGTGAGTCTATGTAAGATCAATATGCTCTCAGATATCTATGAGAGATACCTTAGAAGATGACAAATCACTTGCACTATGGTGAGCAATGTAGCCAGAGAGTAGGGGTGTGTGCACAGTGACAATGATAAGAACCCTAATTTATAAATTGTGATTTTGGAAATTGTTTAATAATTAAGAGAGAATAATTAGAAGAGAATTCTAATTATTTAAATTAAAGCACCTTTTCAAGAAATGAGTGAACAATGTTATTTTGGGATAAAAATGCGCGTAGGCAAAATTACTCGACATTTTAAAAATAAATTAGCAATAATTATCCCATAAATTTTATGAAGTTAAAATGACAAGAAAAACTCATAAGTTAAATAGTCCATCTGTTTGTGGAAAAAGGATTATTACTCACTTAAGTGTTTTAACTTAGTAAACTAACGTGAAAACACTATATTCACCCTCATAAACACTCCTCGACATTTTTCAGAAACCCTAGACAGCAGCCACCTCCTCCTTTCCTTGCTTGTGAGATCACCACCATCCATAGAAGGAAGTATTTTTCTTCAATCTTAAACACCATCATCCACCAAAAATCACCCTTTGTGGAAAAATAATTAAACTTGAAGAGTCCAAATTCGTGCACCTCCCTAGTCACCCATGGAAATCGATGCTTGAGCTTGGAACAAAAATGTCTCTTCTTTGGTTATTGAAGCTTCTTGGTATGAAAGCCTTGATCTTTCTTTAGTTTTCCTTGATAAATGACATAATTTCGGGTTAAAAGAAGGAGTTGGTTGTTGTTTATGGGTTAATAACGTGTTGGGATATTGATTAAATGGTCATATGAGCATAGGAGAAGCCTAAGAGGACCATTGTGCAGCTAAAAACTATTATTTTGGTCTTTGTCGAAGAGGGATTCGAATTTCGAAAGGAACTCGAATCCCTACTCTTAAAATGCTGAATTTCAGCTTCTATCAAGGAGGGATTCGAATCCCTTTCGAAAGGATTCGAATCCCCACTACTGTAGTGGAACGTAACAAAGTAAAATATGAATAACTTGAGCTGTAGAGCTCCAAATTGAGTGGGATTTGAACCTATGTGAATGTAACACATAGGACTATATCCTTATAAAATTTAAGAGCCATTGGATAACTGGATTAATCGCAGTTGGAGTTTAAAGTCGCTACCCTATTCCTGAAAATCCAGTTTGCAACAGTGATAATGGATAATTTATTGACTTATTTATCACTCTTGATTAGTATTTTGGATTATTTGGAATGAAAATATTGATCTTTTGGGTTAAATTAGATTTTTGGTTGTTTAATGGGTTTAATTTATTTTCGTCATTAATTCCCAGCTTTATGTTACATTATTATTTTGACCATATCTCACTCCGCAGATGTCTGATTGTCTTCGTTCTTGTCACATTTTACAGATAACCCAAAGGGCTACAAATTCTATAAAGACATGAAATCCCATTTCAGACACAAAAATGGTCAAAATTAAAACCCAAGTTAGAAACGAGTTGCTGGTTTTATTAATTTAAGTTTGTAATTAAAACCCATTGTTGTTGAGCTCTAAGACCATTTGTTTAGTTTAAATTCTATTTTATTATTATTTTCGGTTGAAATTATTTGAACCCTAACCCGGTTTGGATGTGGATTAAAAGGGTTTGTTTAGGAAACTTTTCGGCGTCTTCAGTTTGGAGTTTGTACGATTGACAAATATTCTCTAGAGACCAATCTACTGTTCTTTGTGTTCTTCATCTCTTTTTCTTCTTCTTCTTCTTCTTCATTTCTGAATATTAAATCTTTTTATTCTGACCATATTTTTCTTGAATTCTTATTTTTCGTTTGTTTCTGTTTTATTAATTTACTTTAGTAATCACTTTTAGTTTAATTATTTCTTTTGTGATTTTGGGTGTTTTTGTGATTGGTAAGACGACTGTCTTACCAAATTGATCTCAGAAGTTCAATTCCCAAAGGAATTCGACCTTCTGAGCAAAAGTTACTCCTTAAAATAGAGTGAGGTCACCCTTAATTTTGTGAAATTCTATCGTTTACTAACCCTTTTTGCTATTTTTAGGACGTATTAGGTATTTCTGCACTTGTTCAACTTGCTCTGATCGCTCTAAAAATTGGTGAGTTGAAGAAGACGATCATCCCGGTCAAAACATGCCAGGCTAGGCCTCACGATGAAGGCCTTTGTTTAGCCAATTCCTTTGTTTACTATTTCTTTTTAATTTTTGAAAAAATATTTATTTGATTTTTTAGCTCCTATGTAGGATTAAACTTTTTATGTGGTGGTCTCATAATTTTTAAAAATCGTTTGCTTTCTTTTATATTTATTTTCATTGTTTTACATAAGTTTCGTGTGTTTATGTATGTTCAGTAGTATTTCTGCTGTCTACATGTGCTTATGATGCATGACTAGGAATAAGCAATGTTCATGATCTCTCTGCATTTGATCCTGAAATAGAGAGAACATTGCATGTTGCTAGAAGAGCTCATTGGTTAACATATAATAAATTTACTAAACTTGATCCTATTTCTGAGCATACTGAGCATAGTGATTTTAATTGTTCTAGTTCTTTTAATAGAGTAGATTTCACTTCTTCTAGTAATTCTGTATTTAATTCTGAAATCATGGATAATAGGAGTTTGAAACAATCGGCTGCACCTGATGTTGATAACTATCAGCCATTGTGTATTTGTTATCAGCCAAAGTTCCATGGTCTTGCAGGTGAGGATCCTCATAAGCAAATGAAGTAGTTCCATGTGGTATTCATTATTATGAGGCTTAAATAAATATAGAAAGCGGTTAATAATGCAAAAAGTCGCTTTTCGGACGAAAAGTGCAGATACCGGTTCTGCTACTCGGTATAAATGCGTACCGAAAAAGTATCCCGGAAAATTATAATAAGTGCATGATAATTCCTAGAATATTAAATAGGACTATTAAAACAAGTTTCAAGTTAAAATAATGAGAACTGGTGCCAGAAACTGATACTGGCTA